GGGAGCCTGATGCGGGGCTCGATCCCAGGACCCTGGGATCATGACCTGCGCCGAAGGCAGACGTTTAACGACTGAGCCACCCAGGCGCCCCTAACCTTTTTTTTTTTAACGGAAGTCTAACACTCACACAGGGAAACATACAGATTTTGTGAAAGGAGAAAGTTTTTAAAAGGGTATCAGCATGACTTTCCTACACATATGAAATGAACGTGTGTCAGGGATTTTATCTAATTCATTCAGGGAGCCAGTACCATGTTATTATGGGGTTGAAGGCAGCCAAGAATGCCGGAACGGATCAGCTTTGTAGATACAACATTGGTCAACATCCATAGGTCCGCAGCCAACTGCAACTTCCCTGGACACCATGTGTATTTTTCGGGACAAGAATCATTTGCATAATTCCCAAAGGTCAACAACGTGGAGAGTTGTCTTTTTTTTTTTTTTAACAACTTAGAGCTTTGTAATAAAACAGCTCAGATGATGAAGAGTGCATAGAATAAAATAATCCTGAAGGGGGCACTAGACAACACCCAGTTTTCTGCTGAAGAAACCTTGCATGCTTTGGGGAATCCACTTCTAAGAATTTCACAGTTTTTCTCTTCAGCTCTGTGGTGCGGCTCGATTCATTGTTTCAAGGAGAACCCTCTTAGGACCACCGCCCAGGACAAGGAATAGAACATCCGCTCCTTGGAAGCCCTTCTCAGGTTCTTCCCAACCGTTCATTACTCTTGCCTTCCTCCCTGAAGGTCACCACTGTCCAGATTTCCAAACCCAAGGGCTAGTTTTGTTTATTTTGGAACTTCTGCTACATGTAACCAATGAGCGTGTACGCTTCTGTTTTGGGTTTCTTTCACTTAGCAAAGTGTTTCTGAGGTTCATCTGTGGCTCAGCCCCGCATCTCTATTGCCTTACAGGAGCCCACCGGGTGAAGAGACCACTCCGCTGGACTGCTGATGAGCATTTGAACGGTTCCCAGTTTCGGGACATAAAATGCCGTGGTGAACAATCTTGTGCATGTGATTGGGTGCCCAAGTGCTTGCATTTCTGTTGGAGTGGAATGGATTGCTGCAGGTCAGAGAATGGACATGTGTGTGTGAGTAGATTCGACCAGGTTCCCAAAGTGGTTGAACCCATGTCATTCCCATCAGGAGGAAGGAGTTTTCTCACTGCTCCTATCTTCCTATTTCTCCTGCTGTTGTCAGTCTTTCTTTCCAGCTTCTGGCTCCAAGATTCTTTCCTGAACTCCCCAAAAGAAAGTTTCTTCCTGAGAAGGGCAGGCTCTTGCCTACAGTCATTTTTCAATAGCTACTTTCTTAGAGGCCAAAAAAGATTCATTTAAAACATAAGGGAGAGCCTGTTCCTGCCTTGCTCAGAATTCTCTAGGGTTTCCCTTCATTCTGAAGATAAAATCTCAGTCTGCACTCTGTGGCTCTGGTCCCTTCCTGCTCTTCCCACCTTGTGCCCACCATTCGGCCCCTTGTCACTGGCTCCAGTCCCTCTGAGCTTTCAGTTCCTTAAACACACCAAACTCGTTCCCCGCTCCACAATTTTTACCCCTACTGTTCCCTCTGCTGGGGGATGCCCCTCCCCAAATCTCTGCCTGGAACTCCTTGGCAAAACATCTTGGCTCAAATGCCACTTCTCAGCGATGTTTTTTACCTGACATAAGAAAAATTGGAATGAGCAAAAAAAGGTTATTGTATGTTCCAGTGGAAAACTACATTGTTTATAGGACACTCTTGCCGCTGTCTGATTCCTCTTGGTCCCATTGCCTTTGAGCTATTTTATGGTGTTATAAGTTGTAGATATCCTACGGCAGTGCAAATGATTCTTGTCTTTGGACAGGCAAATAAATTGCATCAGGGGCGGTTCAATTGACTTCCATCACCTTCTCAGAATAAGGAAGAAGCCAGTTTTGAATCTATTTGCAGATTCATCTTAACACTGTAAATGTGCCTGTTCTTTGATTTCTCCTTTGAACTGGTTGTAACATCTGCCTGGTTCTCTCATTAATAATGAGTTAAATAAAGTCTTTAACACGGATTCATTTTTTTTTTTAATCTGCATGAGAGTCACGATGTTACCTTTTTTGAAAATTATCTTTTAACACTGACCTTCCCCAACCCAAACTCTTTGTGTCTCATTGCTGTTTTACTTCCTTCAGAGCTGGATCATCATCTGAGATGATTTTGTTCATTATTTTTTTACTCATTTTCGGGGGTTCTTTCCCTACCTTGGTCACTGCATGGGGTGGGTGCTCCAAATAAACCTAAGGGACTGAATGAAGGCAGGTGGATCAGCAGCAGCTGTAGACCACGGCTCACTCCTTTTGCCTGTCCTTCCTCTCCCGTAGGGCCGTCTGTCTTGTCTGTGTTTAACCCATGTTCTTCCCATGGATCCTCCCTTTCGGGCTAAACAAGGCCAGGCTAACCCTGTACTTGACGTCTCTGACAGGTAAATAAATCATGTGTTTATGGCTTGCGTCAGGCTTCGGGCATTTCCCCACTGAGCAGCCTGATAAGCAACCTGGTGAGACTGGGTAACTTTGGGAGTGAGTGAGAAAGCCTTCCGCAGAAGCGCAGATTCCAGTCTCTCATCCTCCCAACAAGGAACTGGGGTTCCCTGAGGTCAAGTGCTGGAGGTCACGTGGCTAGCTGGTGCCAGAAAGAGGGTTGGGCCTGGGATCCTGACTCAGAGTTTAGCACTGTTTCAATCATAAAAACCTGCACACGGAGCATGTGATGCTCCAGGCCTGCCTTCAGGGATTTGTGTCCATGAGCTCATCCTTACGACAGCATGACTTTTCGGGGGGAACCGAGGTCCAGAGGAGCAGGTGATAAATCTCGGGCCCCACAGCAGTGAAGGGTAGAGCCAGGACCTCAGCCCAGGCAGGAGATCTTTAGAGTCTCTGCACATAGCCACCACACCAACTAGAAGACACTAGGAGGAGGAGCGCATACTTTTTGGACATATATTCCAGGCCAGGCCCCAAGCTAAGGGTTTCACCTGTATGGTCTCATTTAATTTTCTTGATACCCAGTGGGGGAGGTGCTAGTATTGTCCTGAAAAGTTCCAGAGTCCCCAAGTCCACCCTTGCTTTTGACACCAACTTCAAAGTTCAGGGGTCCTCAAGACCACGCTCGGTTTCCATAATTCACAAGAAGGACTCGGAGAACCCAGAAAAGTCGCTATGCTTCCTGTTAAGGCTCATTACAGCAAAAAGATACAGATTAAGATCAGCCAAGGGAAGAGGTGCACAGGGCCAAATCTGGGAGACATCCAGGTGCATACCTCTGCTTGTCCTTCTCCAGTGGAGGTGTGCAAACAGTGCTAACTTCTAGCAACAATGTGTGACATAGATACAGAGAATCGCCAAACCGAGAGACTCACCTGAGCCTCGATGTCCAGAGTTTTTACTAGAGGTCGGTCATGTGGCCATGGCTCACCATCTGCCTGGCTGACCTTCGTCTCTAGCCCTCCGAAGACTGAGGTAACACCACATGGTCCATAAGTCACGTCATGAGGATAGGTCATCTGGTATGGCCCAAGGCCTGCAGGTAAACAAAGATACTTTATCAGGTGAAATATTTTCCAAGGGCTTAGAATTTGCCTCCTGGGAGCTGGGGACAAAGGGCCAAAACTTTCCATAGGCAAGGTTAGTCCTTTACTGCACATCTGCCCATTTTGCAGAAGAGGAGGTAGAGTCTTGGAGATGCTAAATGACTTGCCTGGGCCATGCAGCTAGATCCGGAATCTGACCCCTGACATCCTGACTCTAGGACCCCATGCATTTTGTGTTCTTCCCGGCAGCTTAATGTCTCTGTTGAGAGAGACATTAACCCAGGAGATGAGATTTTTTCCATCTTCCCATTTCTCTGGTTGTCAGAGAAGTCATGTCTAGAGTACATTGAATTTAAGGTCTCTATCAACTCTGTACTATTAGGGAGGCCTGGATAGGGACCTGTTTGGGAAACTGTCACATCCAGCAAGATGCTACTTACTGTGGCCAAACTGTCACACTTGATACTGTTGCTTCAGTGCGATTACAGGAAACTCCAGCACACTTGGGATGAAAACACATATTTAACACATATTTATCAGGGGTCTGGGGATGCCAGGCACAGGGCAAGGCATTGGGGGTGCTACGGTGAGCGAGTTAGACATAGTCTGAGCCTTTCCATGGAGCTTATCAGTTATGTGCTGTGGGAAGAAGGGAAACAGAAAAATCCCCACAAATTACTTCCAGCATTCCTCTTTTTTGGGCATGCTAGGACCCAGCCATAGCCATTTCCTAGTCAAATATTTACTGAACAGCTACTAGGTACCAGCCACAGCTACTAGGTACAGGGGAGCAGAGTGAGGACAGACAGACAGATATGGCCCTTGTCTTCCTTGAGCTCATCCTCACTTGAGTGGGAGACAAGCTTATCTGCACTTCTCTTCACTCAAATGGGAGAAATATACAGAAATCTTTGTGAGCCACCAAATAACAGAGTGCCCAACAGTGATATGAACCAGGAAGGAAACAAACACAAGGCCAGGGTAGAGAACAGGTGGAGGTGGCCAGGGAAGGTATTCCATGGGGACAACACTGAAGCTGAGACCTGCTACATGAAGAGGAACCAGCCATGTGAAGAATGAGGAACAGTGTTTAGGCAGAGGGAACAGCAGGTGCAGAAGCCCTGAGGTAGAGAAAAGACCAGCTTGGCCAGAATGTGGTGACGAAAGGTTCAGAGAGGTGGGCAGGGCCATGTGGGCTGTGCGAGTGTTTGGATTTTTCCAAGGGTAGTGGGGAGCTGTTGAAGCATTCTCAGAAGAGACTGGCATGATCTCACATTTTCAAGATCCTTCTTGGCTGCCATCTGGAGGCTGGATTGGGATGGGGTGAGCAGAGGTTAGAGTGGGGGTGCCACCAGGACACTGTGTACTGTCTCTTACCTCTAGCCTGTGCATAGGCTGTGCCCTCTGCTTGCAGTCAACTGAGCTGCAAAGCTTCAGGGATGGCCCTGGCTTGCTCCTACTCAACTTTTACCAGTCAAGTGACTGGTAAACACCTTCCTACCCAGGACCTATTCATATCTTTTAAACCGTACTAGGCTATCCCATGTCTGTGCTGTGCAGATTCAGCTCAGAATCCCCATTTTCCTCTCCTGACTCTCCCAGACAATGGGAAGCTGTGTATACAGTGATGACCCTGAGGTCTGCCAGATGTAAGATGTACCTACTACCCCAGCAGGAGAGCATTACAATGGGTACAATATTGATTCAGGGTCATGTGTGTTCTAACATTTACTTGATTTCCAACACTCTAATTTGTTTGACTATGTGGTGAGCTGGAAAATGATAGTAGGGATATTTGGGCATCTGGTCCTACCGCTCTGTGACCATGGAGAAGTCCTTTTATCTCTGGGTGACAGTAATTGCCAGTATAAGAGCTGTCATCTTTAGGCACACTCTCTGGGATAAGCACCCTGTGAAGGCCATTGTATGTACTCATTCAACTCTCACATCCACTCTATGAAGTCTTATCGTCACCACCATCATTGTCACCATCATCACCATCATCATCACCATCATCAACACCATCATCACCATCACCACCATCATCACCACCATCACCACCATCATCAACACCATCATCACCATCATCACCACCATCATCACCATCATCACCATCATCACCATCATCACCACCATCACCACCATCATCACCACCATCACCACCATCATCGCCACCATCACCACCATCACCACCATCATCGCCACCATCACCACCATCACCACCATCATCACCACCATCACCACCATCATCACCATCATCACCACCATCACCATCATCATCACCACCATCATCACCATCATCACCACCATCATCACCATCAACACCACCATCATCACCAT